GACCATGAATCTGAACCCTGGACCAATTAGGCATGTGTGGTTGTTGCTTATGGAAAAGGCCTTTCCTTTGTTCATTCTTGCACATCATTCATTCATTCATTTATTCATGAATCCATTCCATAGTTTTAATTATTCCGGGGAAACTCACCATGTTCATTGTTGGGAAGATGCAGAGATGACAGAAACAAGGCTTCTGTCCTCAAGATACTTGAAATCTGGTGTAGGTTGAGTATCCTGATCAGAATGCTCCAAAATCTGCTCTGGGTGACAGAGCGAGACTCTGTCTTAAAAAAAAAAAAAAAAAAAAAAAAAGGCCAGGCATGGTGGCTCACACCTGTAATCCCAGCACTTTGGGGGGCCAAGGCGGGTGGATCACCTGAGGTCAGGAGTTCAAGACCAGCCAGGCCAACATGGCGAATCTCTGTCTCTACTGAAAATACAAAAAAGTTAGCTGGGCATGGTGGCGGGCACCTGTAATCCCAGCTACTTGGGAGGCTGAGGCAGGAGAATCTGAACCCGGGAGGTGGAGGTGTCATGTCTCAGAAAAAAAAAAAAAAGATTCTGGCAAAATTCTGTCATAAAATAATGTGAGGAGGAGTTAGTGGATATTTCCGGCTTCCTCCTGCAGGCTTTCTGGGCCGTCCTCGGTCTAGGGTAAATTTCATGGTCGGCATTCTCTGTCTTGTTTTCCATCCCTCCCAGCCTAGGTCGCCTCATAACTTGCCTCATTTTCTTCAGGAGCCTGTATTATCCATTAGGACAATTCTGAATATAATAGAAAGAGTTAAATTGTCTCTTTGGCGGGGTCTTGGGGTACTTTTTCCTAAGAGATCTGCTAAAAAATTGTCTCCTGATTTGGAAGAAACTCTCCATGAGATGATGGCTATATTCTGTGTCTATACTGTCTAGTACAAGAGCCACTCTCTACAAGCAGCTACTGAGCATTTGAAAGATAGTTGGTGTGATCAAGGAACTGAATTTTTACTTTTATGTAATTATATTTTGGTTTTAGAAATTAATATTTAATTTATTAAAGCAAAAAAATTCATTCTATTTATTCCTATGCTTTCACACAGTATTGTTCTATTCATATAAATCTTGTTTGTTTGTTTGCTTTTGAGATGGAGTTTTGCTCTTGTTGCTCAGGCCTGAGTGCAATGGCACGGTCTCAGCTCACCGCAACCTCCGTCTCCCAGGTTTAAGCGATTCTCCTGCCTCAGCCTCCCAAGTAGCTGGGATTACAGTCACATACCATCATGCCTGGCTAATTTTGTATTTTTAGTAGAGATGGGGTTTTGCCATGTTGGTGAGACTGGTCTCGAACTCCTGACTTCAGGTGATCTGCCTGCCTCGGCCTCCCAAAGTGCTGGGATTATAGGCATGAGCCACCGTGCCCAGACCTATTCATATAAATCTAACAAAATCTGGCAATCAGATATAAGGAGATTTTGTATACTGTGTGCTCCCTATTACAATGTTGGTTAATTAAACATCTTCAAAAAATTTAAACTGCATTTATAAATTTGATATACAGTTTTTTCTTTCTTTTTTCATTTTTGAGACAAGGTCTCGCTCTGGCACCCAGGTTGGAGTGCAGTGGCGCAATCACGGCTCACTGCAGCCTCCACCTCCTGGGCTCAAGCAATCCTCCCACCTCAGCCTCCTGAATAGCTGGGACTACAGGTGTGTGCCACCACACCTGGCTAATTATTTTTTATTTTTTGTAGAGAGTAGGTTTTGCCACGTTGCCCAGGCCGATATACAGGATTTTAAAAACTACTCTTTAATTGTTGACAGACAAACCTTCTTAACTACTTATATAACCCACAAGCCTGAAAAATGAAACTTATAAATACGCCGAGCCGTTTTCTATTAATAATATTGTACATAAATTGAATAGAATTTCAATTTAAAATACATGTCTAAATTAGTTATTCAGTCACACATTTCAAATTAGGCTTAGAAAGATGAACTCTTACTCTAACTGGCTAAATTACATAACATTAAAAGAATATAAAATAAAATACCCAAAATGTATGATCTCTTTAATTCAGATATTAATATCATGGGGTTATTTATCTGAAGTATGCCTGTATTCATTCTGGATCTTCCTAGAACTTAAAGATGCTACCCCATTAAGAATACTGGGTTATGTCACACAATTCCAGGGTTAAATTCTAACGAATTTTTTTTCCAGGCAGTGGGAGGGGAGTTGAATTCCCTGATTGCCTGGGGTCACATAACCACCAGTGATTTCGGCGGGCGTGTTGTCCAGATGTTTTATCCACGACCCTGATAGGATGCGTGTTGATTCACTACGCATCTACGACCCCCATTTATTCACTATGTTGATTGTTTATGTAACTTTAGTTAATTCCAGCGTGACCGTAAATAGCCGTATGTGGTAAGTTGCCTCTCTGTTGGGAGGAGTTCTTCTCTGCAGCTCTAAATGGAACAGCCTCTGTGGCCAAAGTGGGAAGCTGCTTAGCAATTGCTGCAGTGAGACCTGCTTTCAGGGCATGTGTATTTTATCCCAGATTCATCTGCTCTTACCTCGAGTCTGGAATCTTAACTCTGCTTGCTTCTTAGTTCAGCCATAGCTACTAAGGCAACGTGTAGCTTACAGTAGACCCAGCAGCGTGTCTCTCTGGCTGCTACTTGGGGTCCAGCTCTCAGTACCCCCAGCAGTGCAGGGGCCACAGGCATGGGCTCTCAGAACTCCTGCCTACCTCCTCCTAGCCTTGCCTCCCCTAGTACACTACCTGCCACCAATTTTTATTTTATTATTAACAACATCATCCATCTTTGTCACTTGCCAGGAGGTCCCATGGTTCAAAACGTGGGTGCCGAGGGTGGGTACCCACCCTGCAAGCTGATATTTCTCTGTCCAGCTTGGCCCCTGGTGGATGATTAAGAGGAGGCAGGTAGTGTGTGTGTTATGCGGGGTGGTGACCAGTGGGAGGGAATTTAGGCGGATTGGCTTTGCCCCGCAAAAGCCAGCCCCGGATGAAAGCGTGCGCTGTTACTGATTTACTTTTCACGAAGGGCTCTTTGGTTCCAAAAAGGCTGGGAGTGATTAGTGCAGGTTCAGTTTGCCTGAATTCTTATTTTGCCTCTTGCTTCTCTTCCTTCTTTTTGGGATTCTTGGTCTTGCATATCCGACTCAAAGCTGCCCTCTCCACATCTCAGCCCCTCAAGACTCATTCATTCATGTAATCAGATCACCCAATGGGAACTGTGATACTTACAACAAATAAAGAACCCATCTCTCACAGGGCTGGGCGGCAAAGCCCCGTGCAGTGGTTCTGAACTCTGCCTCTGTCTGAGCTATCTGGGGACCTTGTTGAAAAGAAAAGAGAAGCCCCTGTCCCCAGGAGTGCCTGATTCTGTAGGCTTGGGTTGGGGCTGAAGCTGGGGCTCAGCATGTGTATTTTTAACAAGCTCCCCAGGTGATCTTGCTACAAGCTCAAGTTTAACACCTTTGAACTGTGCTATGGAAATAAGGAAGGGGACAGGCTTGGGGGCAGCCTCCCTCCTTGTGTTTTATCTATGTGACCTTAGGCAAGTTCCGTTGTTACTCTGTGCTGCTTTTTCTCATCTCTGAAATGGGAATAATATGGTTGGTTCTTAGCCCTTAGGGTGCGTATGACAGTTAGATAATATTCATAAAGCACTTAGCACATAGTAAGTGCTCAATAAGACTTAGCTATGTTTGTGATTATGAATATATTGTATAATAATTTATCAGTAACAGCATTATTAACACAAAGCAGTAGGCACAGGGCTAGCATATAAAAACAATCAATAAATGTCAGTTTTATTATTATAAATATATAATACAGATTGAGCATCCCTAATCCAAAATTTAAAATCTAAAATGTTCCGTAATCGGAAACTTTTTTTTGAGATGGAGTCTTGCTCTGTCGCCCAGGCTGGAGTACAGTGGTATGATCTTGGCTCACTCCAACCTCCCCTTCCCGAGCTCAAGCCATTCTCCTGCCTCAGTGTCCCAAGTAGCTGGGATTACAGGCACCCACCACCGTGCTCGGCTAATTTTTGTATTTTTAGTAGAGACGGGGTTTCACCATGTTGACCAGGCTGGTCTCGAACTCCTGACCTCAAGTGATCCACCTGTCTTGGCCTCCCAATAATCGGAAACTTTTGAGCACTGGCATGACATCACAAGTGGAAAATTCCACACATAAATCTTAACACTAACTGTGTAATGCAACACATTAAAAATATTGTACAAAATTACTTCCAGGCTATGTGTATAAGGTATATATGAAACATAATTGAATTTTGTGTTTAAATTTGGGTCCCATCCCCAAGATATCTCATGATATATAATGCAAAGATTTCAAAACCTGAAAAAAATCTGAAATCTGAAACATGTCTGATCCCAAGTGTTTTGGATAAGGGATACTCAACCTGTATATGTTGCATAATATAAATATTGTTATATTTCAAATTATATTATGTATTACATATGAATTATCATGTGTGGGAGATGTATGCCTACACCTATGATGACATTAGACAATATACATGTAGAGTATAAATATTGACATAATGTATTATTGTGTAAATGTTAAAATTATAAGGATCGTGTAAGGAAGTTATTACTACTGGACCTGCTGTCTAGTAAGTGCTCATTAAATATATAAACCCTTTTTTTCTATTGTTTGTAATATTCATTAGCAGTAATAACATAGAGAAAAGGAAAAACCATCAGCAATAGTGAGGCAGTGGACAGGGGGCTCTTCCTTCCTGCAGAGGCAGCTGCCTGTGTTCCAGCATTCACGGGGGACTGCCCCAGACTGTTGGGTTCCTCTGCCTGGCCTAGGGATCTGTTTCTCACTGGGATCCAGAGCTGGGGAGAGAAGGAAGGGCGCCTCTCCCAGGCCTCCAGCCCTCCCTCAGCAGGGGATTTTCCTGTGGATGCAAATTGGCCGGTTACTTGAGACGTTCTCCAGTCAAATAATTCTCTCCCTCGTCAGCTGGGCCGCTAAGCGCCAGGGATGTTATGACAATGGTCGCCCTGGCAACGGCGGGAAGGCGTTGGGGCTGCCGGCTGTGGCTGCCGCGATTTCATTACCCGCATGGGGTCTGATCACCCGAGAACCTTAATAACACAACCAGGGACCCGGTCCTGCAGGTGCACTGTGCCCGCTTGAAAAGGACTTGGGATTCATTTTTAGTGGCCTGGTGTTTAACTACCAAGGATGTTGGTTTATTGAAAGACCAAGGAAAATGTATTGAGCACCGACTGTATGCCAGGCACAGATCTGAACGCTGGGGAAAAGACAGGCAAAGCCCGTGCTCTCTTGAGCTGACATGATGGGTGTGTGGTGGTTGGGGGGGGGGGTGCGTAACCATGGAAACCAATAAACAGGATGATTTGTGAGATAGCAAAGTGCCACCAAGGAAAGAAAGCAGGGCGGCGTGACGGTGGCATTGAGGGGGGCTCGGGCAGAGGTGACACCTGAAGAAACGGAAAGGGCCGTTTATGCCTAAAGCTGATAGAAGAGCTCCGGCCGGTGGGACAAGCAAGTTCAAAGGCTGGAACTCTTTGCTGCTCATCTGTACCTTTAGGGAGAAGGTAGCGATTATGGGGTGCTGATGGGCAGTCCTGAGGGACACAGAGGGCTCTGGAGCCTGCCTCTTTATGTGTGTGACCATAAGGCCAGCCCTGTCCCATTCCTGAGCCGCAGTTTTCTCGTGTGTAAAATGGGCTGAGAGCCAAGCCCCTTCCCTTGGCGCTGCTGCGAGGTCTACACCAAGGATGGTTCTTGCAAGGGCCCGGTCCGTAGAAAGCCCCCACGGTGTCCTGCATTCCCTCCCAGCTTTCATGGACTCCGCTTTCGTTTTATATATATGTAAAAAAAATTAGCACCTAAAGGGTGAGGATTTGGGGCTCTGTCAAACCCAACGGCCAGTACGTTCCCGGAGGTCTCCAGGTTTGATCTGGGTTTAGATTTGGAGTGAAAAGTTCCCCGTTTCACATTAGGGATTTCAGACACGATTATTTTTAGCTCTGTCACATGGCTTGACTTTTTGATTGTGTGTGTGTGTGTGTGTGTGTTTATGCTGCTAAATTTACCGCCATGCTAATACAGAGTACAGTAATAAGGCGCTGCGGACGCTCCGATGGGCCAAGGCCTGAAAAATTTTCCATCTGTCGTGGAAGGTGCCAGGCTGCCCCCTGGTGTGGAGATGGAAAATTACACCTTCGGGCTCCAGCTCTGTCGGATTTCCGCAACCTGTGATCCCTCTAACCCCAGGCCCAGGGAACCTTAGCCTACACCTGGGCAGTGCAGAGTCAGACGGTGGGCTCGGCTTGGGTGTGCTATTTCCAAGAGTCCTGTGTTTCTTTATTTGAAGATGGAACCTTTGTTTTTTTCCTTCAGTTCGGCTCTGCATGGACTTGAATTAAGGTCGACCTAAAAATCAATTAGGCCGCCTGGCAGGGTGAAGCCATACAAAGGCCCTTTTCTAATTGTGCTTCTCAACCGTTGATGCTCTGTTTCAGCAGAGAATTGTGAAGAGGGCACGGCACTGGGAACTAGAGGTCCTGAGTTCAAATCACGACCCCGATACTGCTTTATCTCTGCGATCACGGGCACCATTCCAGCAATTCCAAGGCCTGGTTTCCCCATCTATAGAATGATACTCACAATCGGGCCAGGTACAGTGGCTCATGCCTGTAATTCTAGCACTTTAGGAGACCAAGGCAGGAGGATTGCTTGAGGTCAGGAGTTTGAGGCCAGCCTGGGCAACATAGCAAGACCCCACCTCTACAAAAAATGAAAAAATTAGCTGGACATGGTGACACACGCTTGTAGTCCTAGGTGCTTGGGAAGCTGAGGTGGGAGGATTGCCTGAGTTCAGGAGGTTGATGCTGCAGTGAGCTACGACTGTGCCACTGCACTCCAGCCTGGACAACAGAGAGAGACCCCATCTCAAAACAAGTTGAAAAAAAAAAAATCTACTCACTCAGGATTGTCATGATACATGAACCATTCTGGAAAATAATTTATTTAGAGATGTTGGTAGATTAAGATGAATACATGGAAATTCACCAAGTAGAAGAGTCAGTGCCTTTCCCACCTTCTGTGGTGAAGAATCAGCTTTATCTTTTCTGACATTTTGCAGCCAATACTTTTCTGAAATAGAATAAAGAGGATTTATGAGGGAAATGAAATGGAGAAAACCCCAAACAACATCCAGTGCTCACTTTGAAAAAATTAGATTGAACAGACATAAGATGACTCCATCAGATAGCTGTAAAAGTATCTAAATGCTCTCTCGATTTCTGTACTTATCCAAAGGTACAGAAAAAGGCACCTGTCTTCAAGTCCTACCTGAAATAGCCCACCTTAAAGGCAAGGGTGGTGTGTAGGTGATTTTTGTATCCTTTGCTGTCTGCATTTTGAAAGCACCTCGGCCAGGCGCCGTGGCTCATGCCTATAATCCCAGCACCTTGGGAGGCCAAGGCAGGTGGATCATTTGAGGTCAGGAGTACCAGACCAGTCTGGCCAACATGGTGAAACCTCATCTCTACTAAAAATACAAAAATTAGTCGGGCGTGGTGGCATGCATCTGTAATCCTAGCTGCTGGGGAAGCTGAGGCACGAAAATTGCTTGAACCTGGGAGGCGGAGGTTGCAGTGAGCCGAGGTCATGCCACTGCACTCTAGCCTGGGCAACAGTGAGACTTTGTCTCAAAAAAAAAAAAAAAAAAGCACCATGAACATCTTTAAATGAATGAATGAGGCCTCGCTTCTCTTAGAATAAATGTGGAGCTCCCATCATTATTATCCTATGATATGGAACATGGCTTTTTTTTTTTTTCTTCTTTTTTTCTTTTGAGACAGAATCTCGCTCTGGTGCCCAAGCTGGAGTGCAGTGGCGCATCTCGGCTCACTGCAACCTCTGCCTCCCAGGTTCAAACGATTCTCCTGTCTCAGCCTCTGGAGTAGCTGGGGTACAGGCATGTGCCACCACGCCCTGCTAATTTTTGTATTTTTAGTAGAGATGGGGTTTCACCACATGGGCCAGGCTGGTCTCAAACTCTACACCTCAGGTGATCTGCTTGCCTTGGCCTCCCAAATTGATGGGATTACAGGCGTGAGCCACTGCACCCAGTGGGAGCATGGCTTTTTAAAAGGCATCTCTCTTGACTTGGCATCCTCCATGCCCGCACTGAACCCTGGCTGCCCTTCTGCTCTGGTTCTTGCCATGTGGCCTTGTGATTTGCATTTGCACATCTGTCTTCCCTGCCCACTGGGAGCCCCTTCAGCCCTGGACAGGTGCTGACTGCTCTGGAAGCTGTTTGGAAAATGAGCCTGTTGTACAAATGAGCCCACAGCCCTTGTAGAGGGGACTGATTGTGGAGGGTGCTGAACCCTGGCTTCTTGAATGGGGTTTCTGCCCTGTGTTTATTGCCCAAGGACCCAGATCCTTCAGCTTGACTGAGAAGCTACTTTCATTATGCAGTTGTTCAGACAGTAGAGGGATGTTTCTCATATTTGCCTGATCCTTGGAACCAATGGAGTCCTCGGTGTTTTCACAGATTCCTGGGCTGCCGCCAGATTCACTGAATCAGAATTTCTAAGAGATGGGCCTAGAAATTTGATTTTTTTTTTTTTTTTTGGCGATAGGGTCTTGCTGTTGTCCCTGCTGGACTGCAGTGGTGCGATTCATGGCTCCCTGCAGCCTGGAACTCCTGGACTCAAGGGATCCTGTCATCTCAACCTCCCCAGTAGCTGGGACTACAGGTGCACAGCACCATGCCTGACTAATTTTTAATTTTTGGTGGAGATGGGGGTCTTGCTATGTTGCCCAGGCTGGTCTTGAACTCCTGGCCTTAAGCGATCCTCCAGCCTCAGCCTCCTGAGTAGTAATGTTTGATTTTTAACAGTCATCTTCAGATGAAGCTTATGCTTGGAAGTTGAGGAAAGAGGGAAATAATGTGAAATTATCTAGTACCTTGGGAGAACTACTTAAACCCTGTGGCTCTCTGTTTTCACATTTGTAAATAAGATGGGGTTCCTATTGAGGCTATTGTGATGATTCAGTGAAATAATGTGTCAAGTACTTAGCAGAATGCCTGGCATATTTATGTAATGCCTGTCATACTTAATGAGATGGCTGACACTAAGGATGGCCTGTGTGTCTTTATGATTGGCAAATGTCTGATTTTCATGTGATTTGTAACTTACAATCATATAGGTAATTCAGGCTTACAGCAAATAAATGGGGAATAGTGACTTGTGCCTGTAATCCCAGCTATTCAGAAGGTTGAGGCAAAAGGATTGCTTGAAGCCAGGAGTTTGACACCAGCCTGGGCAACATAGCAAGACCCCCTCTCTTGGAAAAAATATCTGTATCTTATAGAAAAATTGTAAGATACAGAAGGACAGAAACAAGAAAATAAACTTCACCTATCATAACCCAGAGATGCAGTTGCCAACCTTTTTTCTCTCTCTGTCTCTGTGTGTGTGTGTGTGTGTGTGTATATGTGTATATATATATGTGTGTGTTCATAATTATATATATGAATGCGTTTTGCATTCAGAAACTAGGGTTATACTATACATTTTGTTTTGGCTGTTGTGTGGTTTCATCTGACATGACCTTTTTTTTTTTTTTTGAGACGGTCTCACTCTGTCACCCAGGCTGGAGTGCAGTGGCACGATCTCAGTTTCCTGGTTTACTGCAACCTCCGCCTCCTGAGTTCAAACAATTCTCGTGCCTCTCAGCCTCCCGAGTAAATGGGATTACAGGTGTATGCCGCCACACCTGGCTATTTTTTGTATTTTTACTAGTGGCGGGATTTCACTGTGTTGTCCAGGCTGCTCTTGAACTCCTGACCTCAAGTGATCCTCCTGCCTCGGCCTCCCAAAGTGCTGAGACTACAGGTGTGAGCCACCGTGCCTGGCCTGGCATGACATTCCTTGTGTTTTAATTAATGACAGTTTGATAGACTTGGATTCAAATCCCAGTTTATCCACTTAGTAGCTTGATGGCCTTGGGCAAGTTATTTGACATTTCTGGGTCTTGATTTCTTCCTTTGTACAATGGGGACAGTGATTGCACCCATATC